GTAGAATATAAATGTCTTAACACAATAACTAAGAAAATGCCATGAAGGCTATGTTAACCAGTTTGATGAAAATATTTTAAATTATATATAAAACCAGCACATTGTACCCCAGGACTGCACTAATGTACACAGTTATGATTTAATGAAAAATAAAATTAAAATACTTTCTATAAGGTAAATGTATTCATATGTTGCTAAGTTTTTATTTTCCAGGCACTTTTTTTTTCTTAATTCAAAGGTGGTATAACTAAACAAATATCAAACAAGTTTGGTCTATAATTTGGGCAGTATTTGATAGAGTGAACACTGTCCGGTGTCTGGTTCTTAGCTTTGCAAACACAGAAATTAAATTTTAGTAGTGTAACCAGGATTTATTTATCTCTGGAGATTTTGTGCACCCTGACCAAACCATAAAAATTCACAGACATTGGTACAAAGGGCTACCCTATAAATTCCCTGTATTCAGCCAAATATACTAAACTAATCTTATCCAGTGATAAGTACACCCTCTCATCTTATGTGAAGGCCTAAAAAATTACTATTATAAGGGGGTTTTGTGAGTATAAAATCAAAGCAAGAGAGTTGGAGTATTTTTGGAGTATTTTATTGGTTGATGTTTTTAAGTTGTAATTGTTTTGTACAAGCCAATCTCTATTATAGGATTACCTGCTGTGAGGACCTGAACACTTGGGTCTTTTGGTCAGGATCTTTCCACTGGAGTAAGATTTTCTCTTTCTCACAAGTATAGTTATACCACGTCAAGAAAGTTATAACACCAATGAGAGGGTCATGGTTTGCTTACCGTAGTATTTCCAGCACTATCTTGTGCTGGTCTTGTGCTGGTCTTGTGATGTAGAATAGAGAAATGCGATGTTCATCAGTCAATATTTATAAACCCATTTAAAATCGACTATTTCTACATTTGGCTACCATTCTGTATTGGTTTCTCGCTGCCATTTTAAAGCATTACTTGTTTCCTTCAAATTGAGAATATGCTCTATTAGGAGCTTGCCCTCAACTACATAAGATTATTTTAGTGCTCATGTATTCTTTTTGCCTAATCTCGGAAAAGGTTAAAATATCTACAGTATGGCAAATTTTCCATTCTAGTGAAGTTAAAATATAGGTTTCTTAGCTAGGTATTTCTATTTGGTTAGTAAAGTATAATACTAAAGTTACAAATAGCCTTTTGTTTTAATCCTGGCTATACCACTTACCACTTTTCTTAGGTAAATCACATAACCTAATCTGGGCTTCCTCATCTTTGTAAAATACCTAAATATCAAGATAGTGTTTGCCATTAAGGTTATTTTCATGATAACATATTTTTGTGTGCTGCTTTTTATTCAGCTAAACATGAATTCAGCTCCAACTTTCATCAACTTTCCTGCAAAAGGGAAACCCAAACGGGGTGATACATACGAGTTGCAAGTGCGGGGTTTTTCAGCAGAGCAGATTGCCCGATGGATTGCAGACAGAACTGATGTCAATGTAAGTCTCCCTACTTTGTAGAAAGTTATCTTGCCATTATCCTTTTGGAATCTTACTAAGAAACTGTAAAAGGTCTTGTCTCCTATTGGTGAGATGGTAATAGTAATAGTTTGGCAATCCCTCTTAAGAAGAATTTAACAGAATCATTGTGATGAATGAGTGAAATTAAAAAAACACCCTGTATTATGTTATTGAATTCAATAGAAACTACTCTTTAGATGTTTTTAATCCATGGGCTATCTAGCCATAGTTGACAAATTCTCCTTTTTTTTCTTTGAGACAGAGTCTCACTGTGTCACTCTGGGCAGTGCTACGGCATCACAGCTCGCAGCAACCTCAAACTCTTGGGCTTCAGCGATTCTCTTGCCTCAGCCTCCTAAGTAGTTGGCACTACAGGCACCCGCCACAATGCCTGGCTATTTTTTGGTTCTAGTTCCCATTGTTGTTTGGCAGGCCCAGGCAGGATTCAAACCTGCCAGCTCCTATGTATGTAGTTGGTGCCCTGGCTGCTGAGCTACAGGCGCCAAGCTGACAAATCCTTCTTAATCTAAAAGATACTATGGTCAAATGTATTCTATCCCATTTTAGGATACAGTATAGACTATTTTGATTGGGATGAGATGAAAAAAAGTATCTTTTTTTTCTGAGAGTAATTAACTAATTTTGAATACTTTCATTTCAAATTATTTTGATCCATATAATAATAAATTTTATATTTTAAAATATTTTTTCTTTCCATTAGATTAGAGTAATTAGACCTCCAAATTATGCTGGTCCCCTTATGTTGGGATTGCTTTTGGCTGTTATTGGTGGACTTGTGTATCTTCGAAGAAGTAATATGGAATTTCTCTTTAATAAAACTGGATGGGCTTTTGCAGCTTTGGTGAGTGAATTTTAGAAGAAAAAATATTTGAAAACTACTAATAATGTATTTTTAGGTAATCATTTATATGAAAAGTAGTATTTTGTTTCTTACATAAGGGAAAGAATTTATATATATTATTTATATATGTATATGCATGTATATATATATATTTTTTTATTTTGAGACAGAGTCTCACTTTGTCACCCTTGGTAGAGTACTGTGGTGTCATAGCTCACAGCAACCTCAAACTCCTGGGCTTAAGCCATTCTCTTGTCTCAGCCTCTCAAGTAGCTGGGACTATAAGTGCCTACTACAATGCCCAGTTATTTTTAGAGGTGAGGTCTCGGCTCTGGCTCAGGCTGGTCTCAAACCTGTGAGTACAGGCAATCCACCCACATCATCCTCCCAAGTGCTGGAATTACAGGCATGAGCCACTGCACCGGGCCCAGAATTTTATATTTTTAATTTTCTTCTTTAAAATCAGTTTATTTCCTCATTATCTCATTAAGATGGCCAGAACTTCAAGGTTCTAAATATACCTGCTTTAATTCAGCCTAAATGATAGACTGTCATCTCTATGTAGTTTTTTTTTTTTTTTTAAGACAGAGTCTTAACTGTGTCACCCTCGGTAGAGTGCTATGGTGTCACAGTTCGCAGCAACCTCAAACTCTTGGGCTTGAGTCTCTTGCCTCAGCATCCCAAGTAGCTGGGACTACAGGTGCCCACCATGATGCCCGCCTATTTTTGTGTTGCAGTTGTCATTGTTGTTTAGCTGGCCTGGGCTGGGTTTGAACCCAAAACCCTCAGTCCATGTGGCCGGCACCATAATCACTGTGCTACAGGCGTCAAGCCTGTAGTTCTTTTGAAAATATTCTTCTAGGCCAGGCACAGTGGCTCATGCTTGTAATCCTAACTCTTTGGGAGGCTGAGGCAGGAGGATCACTGGAAGCTAGCAGTTCAAGACCAGCCTGAGCAACATAGCATGACTCCATCTGTACAAAAAATTAAAAAAAAAATAGTGAACTGGGTATGTTGCCACACACCTATATTCCCAGCCTACTTGGAAGGCTAAGATAGAACATTCACTTGAGCCCAGGGCTTGGAAGTTGTAGTAAACTATGATAATGCCACTACAGTCTAGCCTGGGCTATAGAGTGAGACCCTATCTCAAAAAAAAAAAAAAAAAGTGAGAGAAAGAAAGAAAAGAAAGAAAAAAGAAAATGTTCTTCTAAAAATCTTTTTTAATATTCAATTTTGAAACTTTTATCTATTTAGTTCCAATTTATCAACTGTGTATTCCTTTTAAAGTTTTTTTTTTTTTTTGAGACGGAGTTTCACTTTGTCATCCTCAGTAGAGTGCTTTTGCATCACAGCTCACAGCAACATCAAACTCCTGGGCTTAGGCGATTCTCTTGCCTTAGCCTCCTGAGTAGCTGGGACTACAGGCGCCCACTACAACACCCGGCTATTTTTTTGTTGCAGTTTGGCCAGGGCCAGGTTTGAACCCGCCACCCTCGGTATATGGGGCCAGCACTACCCACTGAGCCCCAGGCACCACCCTTTTTTTTTTTTTAAGAGACAGTCTTACTTTGCTGCCTTCAGTAGAGTGCCATGGTGTCACAGCTCACAGCATCACAGCAACCTACAGCTCTTGGGCTTAGGCCATTCTCTTGCCTCAGCCTCCCCAGTATCTGGGACTACAGCCACCATAACGCCCATGTATTTTTTTGTTGCGGTTTGGCTGGAGTCAAGTTTGAACCCGTCACCCTCAGTATATGGGGCCAGTGCCCTACTCACTGAGCCACAGGTGCCACCCTTCCTTTTAAAGTATTAATGAATTATAGTCCTTGTGATGAAATATAAAGCCTTAATAAATAAATCATTTATCTGAAAAAGATTCTATTTATTACCTAAATAGATGCATATGTTCATATGCTATAATATAATCAAGAGAACAGTTGGAGCAGGAATATTTTATTATGCTTTTGTTTCCTAGTGTTTTGTGCTTGCTATGACATCTGGCCAGATGTGGAACCATATAAGAGGACCACCATATGCTCATAAGAATCCCCACACAGGACATGTGGTAAGGGAAAACATGGATTTATTTCCATTGTAGACCAAAGTTAATGCAATGATTATTACCCTATGAGACCAGTGCCAGCATATGAAGGAACTGGCTTAGTCTTTGACTTTTCTTTTCTTTTCTTTTCTTTTCTTTTCTTTTTTTTTTTTTTTTGAGACAGAGCCTCAAGCTGTCCGCCTGGGTAGAGTGCTGTGGCATCATAGCTCACAGCAACCTCCAACTCCTGGACTCAAGCGAGTCTCCTGCCTCAGCCTCCCAAGTAGCTGGGACCACAGGTGCCCACCACAACACCCAGCTATTTTTTGGTTGTAGCCGTCATTGTTGTTTGGTGGTCCCTGGCTGGATTCAAACCTGCCACCTTAGGTTTATGTTGCTGGCGCCTTAGCCACTTGAGCCACAGGTGCTGAGCCAGTCTTTGACTTTTCAATCTGTGTGTTAACAAGCTTTAGTTTTTGATAAGATCACACAGTACTCTTTTCTTTTTTCTTGTTGGGGATTCATTGAGGGTATAAGAAACCAGGTTACACTGATTGCACTTGTTAGGTATAGTCCCTCTTACAATTATGCCTTGACCCCAAAAGGTGCATCACACACTGAGACCCTACCCCCTCCCTCCTTCCCTCTCTCTGCTCTTCTTTCCCCCAACCCACTCCTGCTCCCCTCTCTCTCTGCTTTCCCCTTCCCCTACCCCTGACCATGTCATTAATTGTCCTCATATCAAAATTGAATACATAGAATTTATGGTTCTCTATTCTTGTGACGCTTTACTGAGAATAATGTGTCCCACTTCCATCAGGGTTAATACAAAGTCTATAAAGTCCCCACTTTTTTAATGGCTGAATAGTATTGCATGGTATACGTGTACCACAGCTTGTTAATCCATTCCTGGGTTGGGGGGCATTTAGGTTGTTTGCACATTTTGGCAATTGTAAATTGAGCTGTGATAAACAGTCTAGTGCAAGTGTCCCTATGATAAAAGGATTTTTTTCCTACCGGGTAGATGCCCAGTAATGGGATTGCAGAATCAAATGGGAGGTCTAGTTTAAGTTCTTTGAGGTTGCTCCATACTTCCTTCCAAAAAGGTTGTATTAGTTTGCAGTCCCACCAGCAGTGTAAAAGTGTTCCTTTCTTTCCACATCCACACCAGCATCTGCAGTTTTGAGATTTTGTGATGTGGGCCATTCTCACTAGGGTTAGATCATATGTCAGGCTGGTTTTTATTTGCATTTTTCTAATAATTTGGGATGATGAACATTTTTTTTTTCATATGTTTGCTAGCCATTCATCTGTCTTCTTTATTTTTTTTTTTTTTTTTTTTTTTTTTTTCATCTGTCTTCTTTATAGAAGGTTCTATTCTTGTCTTGCCCATTGATATATGGGATTGTTGGCTATTTTCACATGGATTAATTTGAGTTCTCTATAGATCCTTATTAAACTTTTGTCTGATTCAAAATATGCAAATATCCTTTCCCCATTGTGTAATTTGTGTATTTGCTTCGGTTGTTGTCTCCTTAGCTGTACAGAAGTTTTTCAGTTTAATTAAGTCCTGTTTGTTTATTTTTGTTGTTGATGTAATTGCCACGGCAGTCTTCTTCATAAAGCCTTTCCCAGGCCTATATCTTCCAGTGTTTTTCCTATGCTTTCTTTGAGGATTTTTATCATTTCATTCCTTAAATTTAAGTCCTTTATTTATCTTGAATCAATTTTCATGAGTGGAGAAAGGTGTGGGTCCAGTTTCACACTTTTATGTGTGGATATCCAGTTCTCCCAGCACCATTTATTTAATAGGGAGTCTTTGCCCCAGTGTATGTTCTTGTTTGGTTTATTGAAGATTAGGTAGTTGTAAGATGTTAGTTTCATTTCCTTGTTTTCTTTTTGATTCAAAATGTCTGTGTCTCTATTTTTGTGCCAGTACCATGCTATCTTGACCACGATGGCCTTGTAGTATAGCCTAAAATCTAATGTGTTGATGCCCCTGGCTTTATTTTTATTACGAAGAACTGCCTTAGCCATATGGGTTTTTTTCTGGTTCCATACAAAAAGAAGAATTATTTTTTCCAATTCTAGAAAGTATGATGTTGGTATTTTAATAGGGATGGCATTGAATTAGTAGATTGCATTCAGAAGTATAGAAATTTTAATAATGTTGATTCTTCCCAGCGTGAGCATAGTATGTTCTTCCATTTGTTAATATCCTCTGCTATTTCCTTTCTTAGGGTTTCATAGTTCTTTATAGAGGTCCTTCACCTCTTTTGTTAGGTATATTCCTAAGTATTTCATTTTCTTTGGAGCTATGGTGAAGGGAGTTGTGTCCTTAATTAGCTTCTCATCTTGGCTGTTATTGGCGTATACAAAGGCTACTGACTCGTGGACATTGATTTTATATCCTGAGACCTTACTGTATTTTTTGATGACTGCCAGTAGTCTTGTGGTTGAGTCTTTGGGGTTCTCTTAAGTATAAGATCATATTGTCAGCAAAGAGGGAGAGTTTGACCTCTGCTCCCATTTGGATGCCCATTATTTCCTTGTCTTGCCTAATTGTATTGGCTAGGACTTCCAGCACTATGTTGAACGGTAATGGCAACAGAGGACAACCTTGTCTGGTTCCAGTTTTAAGTGGAAAAGCTTTCAATTTTACTTCATTCAGTAAAATATTAGCTGTGTGTTTGTCATAAGATAGCTTCAGTTAATCTAAGAAATGTGCCACTTATGCCTATACTCTTTAGTGTTCTAATTAGAATAGGATACTGGATTTTATCAAATGCTTTTTCTGCATCTATTGAGAGGATTATATGGTCTTTGTTTTGCTTCACTTTATATGGTGAATAACATTTATGGACTTGTGTATGTTAAACCAGCCTTGCATCCCTCAGATGAAACCTATTTGTCATAATGATGTATGACTTTTTTGATGATAAGCTGCAATCTATTGGTTAGGATTTTGTTAAGAATTTTTGCATTTATACTCATTAGTGAAACTGGTCTGAAGTTCTCCTTTTTAGTTGGGTCTTTTCCTGGTTTTGTCTTTTTTTTTTTTTTTTTGCAGTTTTTGGCCAGGGGCGGGGTTTGAACCCGCCACTTCTGGCATATGGGGCTGGCGCCCTACTCCTTTGAGCCACAGGTGCCACCCCCTTTTCCTGGTTTTGCTATCAGGGTGATGTTTGCTTCGTATAACGTGTTGGGGAAAATTTTTTCCTCCTCAGTTTTTTGGAATAATTTCTGCAGTATGAGAATAAGTTCTTCTTTGAAGGTTTGAAAGAATTCTGGTGTGAAGCCATCTGGACTAGGGCATTTTTTTCTTTGGAGATTTTTTTGTTTCTTTGATCTCAGTGCTTAAAATTGGTCTGTTCAGGAGATCATTTACTCCTGGCTAAGTCTAGGGAGAGAGTGTGATTTTAAATATTGATCCATTTCCTTCACATTGTCAAATTTCTAGGCATAGAGTTTCTGGTAGTATTCAGAGATAATCTCTTTTATCTCTGTGGCATTAGTTGTTATTTCCCCTTTATTATATCTGTTTGAGGTTACTAGAGATTTTGCTTTTCTGTTTCTAGTTAATCTGGCCAAAGGCATATATATATTATTTACTTTATTCCTTATTTAATTAGTTTTCTGTATGATTCTTTTGTTTTCAGTTTCATTAATCTCTGATTTAATTTTGGATATTCCTTTCCTTCTGCTGGATTTAGGCTTAGATTGTTCTTCTTTTTCCAATTCTATAAGGTAGCTCGTGAGTTTGTTGATGTGCTCTCTTTCTGTTTTTTGAATGTAGACATCTAAAGCTATAAATTTTCCTCTCAGAACTGCTTTTGCTGTATCCCACAGGTTTTGGTGGCTTGTGTCTTCATTGTTGTTATTTGCAAGGAAGTTAATGATTTCCTTTTTTATTTCTTCCTCCACCCAACTGTCATTCAGCATAAAGTTGTTTAATTTCCATGCCTTTGTATGGGGTTGAATATTTTTGTTGGAGTTGAGTTCTACCTTTAGTAACTTGTAGTCTGAGAAGGCAAAATTTCAATTCTTTTGATTCTGTTGAGTTTTATTTTGTGTCCTAGGATATGATCAATTTTGGAGAATGTTCCATGGTATAATGAGAAGAATGTATATTCTTTATCTTTGGGATGGAGTGTTCTATATATGCCTATCAGTCCCAGTTGCTCTAGGGTCTCATTTAAGTCTTTTATATCTTT